TTTTTTTTTTTTTTTCTGGATAGAAATCTCATTTGGATGCCTTGAAGGAGCCGCTATGACTCAGAGAGCTTTTGAACATATTTAGTATTTTTGAGACATTATCGAAAGAAAAGAAGTTCTAGTTCATTGTAAACTACTTGAGAATCAGTTATAACATTCAGATTGGAAGGCATTGTTTTTCTTCTCAGAATAATCCTTCCCTACAGAAACTGTCATGCAGGATGAAATGCTGTACATTCTACTCCCCAAACCATTGCTTAGATTATAATTCATTTTCAATTTCAGTTTCATTTTTGTGATATTTTGACCATTGCATGGTTGTTAATACCACTGAGGTCTGTTTAGTCATGAGATGGATTGGTCGTTTTTTATAGCATTATATTTACAAAGCGTTTTAAGTTTCTTTATGTTCTTTTTCTCAATACTGGGGTATGTCATATATGTATGTATGAGTGTGGTGTGTGTGGGTGTGTGGTGTGTGTGGGTGTGTGTGTGTGTGTGGGTGTGTGGGTGTGGGTGTGGGTGTGTGTGTACTTATACACACACACCCCCACACACACACACACGTACACTAACCATTTCTCCCTTAAGGGATTTTAAATGGCGACAAAAATAACCAAAAATTGTAATAAGATTTATAGAACTTACTCGATAATTCTCAGAAAGGAATATTCATAAAATCTAAATGCCCAAATAACTTTATTGAAAGTATTTGTAGCTGTTTCTACCCCTGTGCAATATACTCGATGAAATCTCATTTAAAAGTTACCATATAACTATATCAGTTTCATTGGGAGCATTTTACAGATGGCTGCGTTACAGAGTCCTTTCTATGGTGACAAAATGAATTTGTACTCGCTGTGTAAGAAGATAGAACAGTGTGACTACCCACCTCTTCCTTCAGATCACTATTCAGAGGAAGTAAGTCATTTTTCGGTCCATGTGTTTGTCTGTTGTTCATTTCGCTAACATTTGCATTTTATTAAGGAAAAAAAATTTTTTTTTAATCCAGAAACACAAATGACAAGTATGGTGGCAGAAATTGCACTTTTCATTCTGTTTTCCTTCTCTTGGAGACTTACTGTTTAAAGGGTTGACTCTGCAGTTCCTAAAGTGGAGTAGAACACAGCACAGCATGTGGTGTGAAATTGGTCAGTTCTTAGGTGTGATGAGAAGGGTAGCTGACTTTGCAGCATACTGAACACGGCAAAGGGCAGAATCTGTGCTCAAACCCCGGCTCTCGTTGACCAGCATGGCTGGTGCCTTCTTCACAAGGCAACTGGTCACTCTCACAGTCTCAGACCAACAGTTACAACTTTCCATTTTGGCAGAACTTCCTCTCATCCATGTTTTCCACAATTTGAAGCATACATCTTTTAGCTTTACGTGTCTCTACCTTGTTCTTTCAGAGTTACCCTCCCTCCTTCGACCATATCTAACGTGTCATTGCCTCACTGTCGCCATCAAATCCCTGTGGGAAATGTTTTGAGGTTGTCATTAGTAGACATGGTAAAATGTATATTGGGTGGGATTGAAAATTTTAGGAAACTTTACTGTATTAAAATCTGAGTCTGAATCCTTGTCTTGCTTTGGTGGTTCATCGAAGTAAGTTGCTTTGGCTCTACCCAACATACAGTTTTTTTTTATTGAACAAAACCTCTCCTATTTTAGCCCAGTACGTTTTGCCAGTATTTAAGGAGGAGATAGGCAGAACAGCAATATCTTGGGTAAACTAAATGTGTTCACATAACTCTTTTTGGAAAGCTTACTGGGGAACATACCCAGAGAAAACACTGTCTTGAGTTAGGACATCTCACCCTCTCATGAGCAACAGATTTTTTGCCCAAGGGAAATGGCAAGGAGCAAAGGAAAATATAAAACAATTATAACATTCACTTATTAGGTAGTCTTGTCACTCTATCTTGAAATGAATAGCAATTGGTTTTAGTTTTATAGAAGGAAAATTGAGTCAGTGTAACTTGAATAATAAATCTCTCTAAAGAATTTTTAGCATGTGGAAAGCATTTGAGGGCCTAGAATGCTGTAAGTACCTTTTTTCCTTGTGGTTTTGATACTAATAATCACTTGATGCCTGGTGTTGTTGTTGTTGTTGTTGTTGTTTGTTTGTTTCATAGCCTTTGTATTACGGTAATTAAAAATAAACTCTGATAAGGCAAGGATGATGATTGAGAAGTATTACCTTTATTTGATGTTAATGCTATTATGTTAGCCATTTTTAATTACTATTTTGGGTATGGAATATAAATATGGCATTTCACAAAACCAACTTCAGAATGATAGGCCTGGAAATACAGTAGGGTGTGAACAATAATGCAAAATGATGGCAAGAATGTCAGGGGCCGTTCTTTGTTGTGTCATTCATGCTGTCTTCTTTTTTCCATGAAGCGCATGAATATTTCACATATCTGCATCCTCATCCCCTATTCTTCTTGACTAATTTTCAGACTGTCTGAATTTGCATTTCACATGGTAGCTGATTAGGAGATGCGGAGTGCAGCAGTGAAGCCTCAGCAGGCGGTTACCATGGTGACCTTCAGCAGGATTTTAATGATGATACCACTAGTGGTTCGTTGAAGTCGGCCTGCCTGCAGGGCTACCTCACCGCAGCTAAGTGTGAAGTTGGATATGCGGATTCTCAGCCAAGGGGCAGATATCAAAGTCTGGCCCAGATAGAAGGTCTCAGAGTTGGGAAGGGAAAACAGATTCCACTTTTTAGCTCACCCTATATAGTCACCAGTTTCGAAAAGAGATATAAAGCGAAACATGTTGTATGGGGTACTTTCCAAAGAAGACAGTACAGTTTCTTATGTTGGTAAAATCTGTCGTGATGCTGTGGTGAAATAAAAGGCTATTAAACTAGGTAAACACGGAAACGAATTCTTACTAAAGAAATGAGGTACGAAAAATACAGACTAATAATGTTAATCGAATCTTTTCAGTTATGTGGAAAAGTTCTCAGAACAAGAGCTTTGAAATGCAGATGTGCTAATAAATATTTTCTCTCCTTAAGTAGGAACTCTGTTTGTAACATAATTACTCAGAATTTATGGTAGCAAAAAACCTGAGCAGCTTTGATGCTGTGATACTTTAGTGGGATCTCAAATATTTCCTTATATAGTAGGCTTTTTAGATCTCTTAAAAGTTCAAATTGCCATTTCATTTTTTAGCATGAACAATGAAAAGTAAAGCATAAAGTTTCTAAATGACCAACTCTTAATTAAAGGACCAGTTCGCTAAGTGTCCATTCTACAGCTAAATTGGTAGCAGGCTCTGTAACTGTCTGAAAAATAAAAAAAATTAAGCAAATTAATTTCCCACTAACTGCCTATTAGGAAGCTTATCAAATTGATTTTAGCTACTGCTACATTATTAAGGCTGCAGCCCAAACAGGTTTTGAAGGGAGAATTTCATGAAAATAGTAGCTGTGCCCACTACCAGCCTTGATCAGTAGGAATAAGGAACTCTATAAGATTTGTTTCTAGCTGTAGTCATTCCAGTTAGAAGAACTCAGAGTTTAAAAGCTTGGGGTGTTTTTTATTTCTTATATTCAAGCATTACAAACCAAAAATGAGAAATAGTGTCCTTTGGAAAAATAAGCCCGGGTGCCAAATCTTTCCTTTTGAATGATACTGTTATCATTATGTACAAATGATTAGGACTATAGATTGAAATATGTCAGCTGTACGTGAATGATATTGGGATGTGTATATTTTATAGCTTAGTAAAACATTTTTGTTTATAGCAAACAGTAGCTTTTGGTGTTCAGTGCTCTTTCTTTTTCTAGTAATGGTCTCATTCGTGTATCCCTGGGAAACTACTGTATTTAAAACCATAAAAATCTTGAGTTGAAAAGATAGATATTTTTCCTTAGATATCTCTTAGGTTTAATTAAACTTGGGATTGTTGGTGTTGTGCAATTAACATCCGTGAAGTTAAAATGTATTGAACATTGGGGCGCCTGGGTGGCGCAGTCGGTTAAGCGTCCGACTTCAGCCAGGTCACAATCTCGCGGTCCGTGAGTTCGAGCCCCGCACCGGGCTCTGGGCTGATGGCTCAGAGCCTGGAGCCTGTTTCCGATTCTGTGTCTCCCTCTCTCTCTGCCCCTTGCCCGTTCATGCTCTGTCTCTCTCTGTCCCAAAAATAAATAAACATTGAAAAAAAAAAATTTAAAAAATGTATTGAACATTTACTATATAGAAGGAATTATGACTCAAAAGCGCCCTTATAATCTGATCCTGGCTTATCTATCCAGACCTACTGATCACAGGATACTCTCTGCTTTCCCTAACTGTCCCAGTGCAGGTTATCCTCAAAGGTCCATGAATTTCCACGATTTTATGGATGCCGTTTCCTCTTTCTGAAATCCCCCTTCCCCTGTTTTTTACCAGGCTAACTTACCTCTTTGAAGCAAAGCTTGGGCATCCTCTCCCGCACTAAGTTTCCCTGCTCCCCTTTCTTCTCTCCCCATACCCTCCTCCCTTGGCAATACACTGCATGGCAGTCCTTTCTTTGCACACAGCCCCCACCTCCCACCCCCAGACTGTCTAGCTCCTGCTCCTGAGTACAGTAACTGCTTTTTATCTGTATCTCTAGGGCTTGGCATATTAAAAAGGTTCAGCCATTGATTGATGGAATGAGGAAGTGAAAGAGTGAGATTAAAGGAATAAATGAAAAAATAAGTGCACCAATTATTTGACAATTGGATGAATGAAAAAACTTCTCCAAAGAACTTTCTTTCCATCCAGTAAGGCAGACAATTACTCAAAAGACAGGCCAGAATCTATGATTATTTTATTTTATTGATATCACCCACCATATGATTTTTTCATTCTTATCAACAAACAGCATCATTTCTGGAAATGCCCAGTGTCCATTTATTGGAAAATAAGACAAACAGATTTTTTTTCCTTCCATTTCAGTATTTAATTTCTTTGAGAGTCACAGGAGTGGTCATCAAAAGTAAGCATTTTCACTGTTCTCTCATGACTCTTAAGTTGAAAAACAACAGCAAATAGTTATATTGACAGTTATTTACAAAGTGTAAAATGTGAGTCTATGCTGAGTTCTTTTTAGCCAATACATTTTTTGAAAATCCATAGCATTAATGTCATGCAGAATGGAAATTCTGTCTCTTTCAATACTTTTTGTTTATTGTAAAAAATTCTTAATTAAGTAGAGAAGACATGACAAAGACTGAACAGAATTGTACCTTGGCAGTTGCTTTTGGGAAGCTTGTCATCATTTTAGGTTTGAACAGATAAGTTTGGAAGGAAGTTCTGGGAAGTTGAGTCAAGGGTTTGCAGACAAAAGTGAAAAATGGAAATAAATAGGGAGAATAAAGGTGACCTTGGTTTGAGAAAGTAGAAATTAAACTCAGGATTTGAAAAAACAATGCTTTGTGCAAAAACAAATTTAAACACCTATGTAGAGCATGGGTGAGAGGGTTGAAACTTCCTGAATGAAATCAGCTGTATTGTAGCAGCACTTGTCCATCTGTGCTGACTGCCAGAGGAGATATGTACCAGCTTCCTGGTCATTTCAAGGTCATTGTAAATAAAAATGTTCTACTTTTGTAGAACACAGTATCTGTCAGTATCTGTGGTTATCTTCTAATTATATTTTTGAAAACTTGCTAACTCAGTAGGGCTCCTTTTTTTTAATTTTTATTTTTTTAATATTTATTTATTTTTGAGAGACAGAGGCAGAGCATGAGCAGGGGAGGGGGAGAGAGAGAGAGAGAGATAAAGAGTCTGAAGCAGGCTCCAGGCTCTGAGCTGTGTGGTAGCACAGAGCCCAACGCGGGGCTCGAACTCATGAACTGCAGGACCGTGACCTGAGCTGACATCGGAAACTCAACCGACTGAGCAACCCAGGCGCCCGGGGCTTCTTCTTTTTATACA